ATCAGTTCCAATGTTATGTGTTCTTTTGAAAATAAAGTGCATCTATCTATGGCAGGAAATCGCAGGCATTATTACATCATTTTCATTAAATCGGTGTCAAAAAGTCTTGAAACAATATTATCGGTTATCGTAATAATTTTTTAGACAATCACTCAGCAAAATTTGTTATCGTGACAGGCCTACAGATGTCTGTTTTTGATGGACTTCAGGGAGGGATTGAGTGCATTGGCTGTTTTGACGTCTGTCATGACTGAGCAGACAGAATTCTGAAGAGCTTGACATCACATGAAAAGGGTCAATAGAGAATCATAATTGTTAGTTCTGTGAATTGTGAATCCAGTTAAAATCCTCAAATTATTTGAAAATGTGTTTAATTTGTATGTTTTTTCTGTTACTATTTTCCTATTTGTTCACATAGTAATGCATTTTGAATAATTCTTTGATATTTTTATTAAGAAAAAACCAGGCAGCTAAAAGAACCTAATACTAGTCATTTAAGTTGCAGGATTTTATGCACAAACCTATTTTTGTTTTAAATATAAACTGATGGAATTTGATACAGTACAGTAAATGAGTGTTCAGTGTACACTGTCTGTTCATGTCAGTCACAAAATGTAAACACAATCTCTAGACTGAATTGAAAAAATTAGTTTCTGAATTAAAAATAGCTTGTCGAACCGCTAGACACTGAAAAATTGGCGTCTCTACATGCTATAGATTTCTGCGTTTTCCTCTCTCCCTTGGCCCTGCAGGAGGAGGCCAAGCAGATTCAGAACCAGCAGAAGGCCAGCAGCTCCCGTTCAGACTCGCGCGATGAAGAAGTGTCTCCACCCATGAACCCAGTGGTGAAGGGTCGCCGGCGGAGAGGAGCCTTCAGCGCAGAGGTTTACACAGAGGAGGACGCAGCCTCGTACGTCAGGAAGGTAGGCATGGTCTGACGTCAACGATCAGGAACATGATGCATGCAACGCTGCTGTGGATCTGCTTCAAACATGTGTTTTCCTGCTGGTACTGAAGGTGATTCCAAAAGACTACAAAACCATGGCTGCTTTGGCTAAAGCCATTGAAAAGAATGTGCTCTTCTCACATCTGGACGACAATGAAAGGAGGTACCTGCCTTAAGTTACTTTTTTAAAGGGGCATTATCATTTAAAATTGACATTTTTAAGCTTTACATTATATTATAATGTTATTTCCTCATAAAAAAACATACCTGGATTGTTGCCTTGATCTTTTCATGGATGTTTGAGAAATCCTTTAATTTCCATGACAACCATTCAGTTGTGTAAAACGCCTGGTTGGATCTATCCCCACCTTTGAGAAGCAGCTCCTCCTCTGAGCTGCAGTTTCCAAACTTCCACCTCACAGAGCAGCCTCCAACATGACTCCACTACTCGGCTCCTTCAGATTAGCCAGCAGCAATTAGCAAACCCCTGATGGCCTGTACATCTGCTGAGCTCATTATATGGTCATTACACTTTTTAGAGCAGTGCTGGTAAAATCATTGTTAAAGGGTTAANAGNGGAGCCATGTTGTGATGACTTCCTGAAGGTGGAGTTTCAGAAAAGCAGGACATTTTAAAGAGACGTAATTTTAAGGCATTAAATTGCAGAATCAAAATTTTTAAGTAATTTTTAATGTATACAGCATTTTATAACAACTGAAGGTAACAGTTATTTGGTAGTGCCATAAAGTAGCACTATGTGCCTATAAAACACATAATACTGCCCCTTTAATAAGCTGTTCTTATTAACATTAATATACATCCAGCTAACCATAAACCTGTTCTTTCCCAGTGACATATTCGATGCCATGTTTCCAGTCACCTACATTGCTGGGGAAACAGTTATTCAGCAAGGTAAGGAAACATACATCCAGTGTGCTCGACAATTATTCATAGCATAAATTCACTTTGAAACGAAGCATTTTATTTTTGTGCCTTCAGGTGATGAAGGAGACAACTTCTACGTCATCGACCAAGGAGAGATGGATGTGAGTGTCTCCCGATCTCGTTGTCGTGACGTGGCAGAAACATTTCCGTGTCTTTCAGATGATAAAACCTGTCTGACCGATTGCTCAGGTGTACGTGAACAACGAGTGGGTGACCAGCATCGGAGAGGGAGGCAGCTTCGGAGAGCTGGCACTCATCTACGGCACCCCGAGAGCGGCTACAGTCAGAGCCAAGACCAACGTGAAGCTGTGGGGCATCGACAGAGACAGCTACAGGAGAATACTCATGGTATTCATGACTACCTGGTCTGTGTTGTTTCATGTGTTTGTAGTGACACTAATACAACTCGCCCTTCTCTGTAGGGAAGCACTTTGAGAAAGAGGAAGATGTATGAGGAATTCCTCAGGAAAGTGTCCATTTTAGGTGAGATTCTCCGGTTCCAACAGTTTAAAAATAGAAACAGATCATGTTACCTGTGTGAAGATCCTAATAACATAAAGAGTAGCTAAAAATATCTTGTCAGTTCAAATATTTCTTCCCGTCTCCATCCTCAGAGTCTCTTGATAAATGGGAGCGTCTGACGGTGGCCGACGCCTTAGAGCCCGTTCAGTTTGAGGACGGCCAGAAGATCGTGGTGCAGGGCGAGCCCGGAGATGAGTTCTTCATCATTTTAGAGGTATGCTTTTGTTTTTCAACAAACATTTTACTCTTTTGACATCAACAAGTTCACTATTGTATATTTTTATTGCCATTAAATATGCCCATCAGTGTTAAAAGTGCTGTTTCACTTTGTTCTGTAGTTTGCTGTTTTCTTAAGCTCTGTATAAAGCTTTTTGTTTTTGTTCTGTTGAACAAACTAGACTAAAACTGATCAGAGATTATTTATTTAATGTTTTTTTCAGGGTTCAGCAGCTGTCTTGCAGCGTCGCTCCGAGAATGAAGAATTTGTTGAAGTAGGAAGATTAGGACCGTCTGACTACTTTGGTGAGAATCGAACAAACACGACTCCAGGATTTCTGCTTTTAGCAGCAGACAGTAGGGATGTCCATGGACATTTTCTCACACTGCTGTGTGTTTGACAACTTATGTAGTCTCCATTAGTATTGTGGTCGTTTACCAGAAGCTGCATTGTCCAATTTTATTTTAAAGCAGCTTTTTTTTTTTTTTGGATTCTAGAAACACCAATCTTTGCCCTGCTGCTGGTGTTTTAATGTGGAGCAGTTGGCTGGAGAGCTAGGCTACTGCTAGCAAGCTTCCTCTGTGTTTACAAAGAACTTGTTGATAATTCAGCATGCTAGGTTAATGCTAACATGTTTCGTCTGAGTTTAGATAGAACTTGTTGATAATTGTGCTCATAATCCATTTTCTTTGCTGTTCCTGTGACTCGTGTAGTTTCACTTGTTAGTGTTTTGAATGACTTGACATTAAATGAATGATGTTTCAGCTGCTGTCTGTGCAGCTCTAACACTACTGAATAGATGTAGGACTGGACACCACTAAGATAAGAGCTGATTAAAATGATATAGGCTAAATGATTTAACACAAATGTTTAAGGTTTGTGTTTAGCTTCCTTACAGTAGTCGTCTCTCTCTGCCTCCCAGGTGAGATCGCTCTGCTGATGAACCGCCCTCGTGCTGCCACAGTGGTCGCCCGCGGTCCCCTGAAGTGCGTGAAGCTGGACCGGCCCCGTTTTGAGCGCGTCCTGGGCCCCTGCTCAGACATTCTGAAACGCAACATCCAGCAGTACAACAGCTTCGTGTCGCTGTCTGTCTGAGGGAGGAGCACCGTTCCCCATCTTCTTTTTCTGCCCCCCTCTCCTCTTCTTCCTCCTCCTTCCCCTCCTCCTCACCTTCTCTTCTTTCAGACCCAGGGTCCACAAATGCAATTTGCTTTTTGTTGTTACTTTGCTCTCACTTATTTTATTTTTTGGCTTTTGAGTTCTCTCTTTGTTTTACTCAAATGGTTTTTTGCCGTCTCCACGTGTCACGCTGTGGTGACTTTCAGCCACTCACCAGCGCTTGTACCAGCTGCTGTACGCTACCTTGTAGACACAGTTACACCACATGTTACTTATCTTTCATATATATATAAATATATATATATCTATATATATTTGCTGGTTACACTTTTTCTTTTTAGATTTCAATTTAAAGCAGGAGATCTGAAAGACTTTAGGGTCTCAGACTGATGAGACAATCAGACCTTACAAGGCGCATTTACTGTTTTATTTTCAGATGAGACGAAGGCTGATTCTTCCCTCCAGGTACACAGGAGCAAGGCAGAAATATGACCGCACCCAACTGTCTTTCTGCTTGTTTTTAATCCTTTCTTTTCGGGAATCAGCTGTGATCTGAGACTCCATTCAGTTTTTTATTGTTTTGTTTTGTTACCTTTTTGATGGGGATGACGTTGGCAGTGATGCGTCTGTTTTTGCTTAGTTTGGAAGAGTTTGTACAACTTAAAGGGTTTTTATTGTGCAGCTACCAGGCTAGTGCCAAATGTTGATTATTGTCACAGCGCAGACATGCATAGCTGCCGAAATGTTCCCTGGAGCTCCAACAGGAAATGGCTAGAGTCCTCCTAATCGACTGAACAACCACACAAGAACTGCCTTGAATACTCGAAGGAGAAGAAGAAAAAAAATCTACAAGAATAGAAGGCAAAGGAGTATTACGCGAGTTTCAGTATTCAGTTTCTTTAAAAAAATACCAAATAATTTGGTCGCTCTTCTGCTATTGTTTATAATCAAAATGTTATTATAGTATAGTCCAGATAGTTCTATTATTATCATTGAGAAAATGACAAATCTTATGGTTTGGAGTGAAATATGTTTAACTGTCTTTTGTAAACACTTATTTTTCCATAAATTCTATTTTAGGTGTTTGGTGCCACAAAGTACTAAATAAATAAATGATTCTTCTCGTCGACTGACATCAACAGTATGTAACTCGTATTGTGTAAAACGTCATGGGAAAAATTTTTCAGCAGCAACGGGAGCACGTTTTGAAGGAAAGTGAAGTATTTGGCTGCTGAAGCTGCGGGCAGAGCGAGTAGACTCACTGCTGCCATCGCCTCTTATCGCCTGCAGGGGGAGCCTGACCTGTTCTCTGCTCTTACCTGGCAGGACGCTTTAAAGCATCCAGTGACCCGGTGTGAACGGAAGGGCGCATTTAAAGAAAGGAGAAAAAAAAAAGAAAAGCTTGTTGCAGAAGCAGGAAGTTTGTCAGATATTTCGTTTGTTATCCCTTTGGCTTAACTGCTTCACCACTATTTAGATAGCATATGATGTTTTTGTAAGATCTCTACCAAGTGAGATAATGTTGATCTGACTGCTCATTCCTCTGAACCCGCAGTGTCTCTGTTCTTTGCTTCATTTAGAGCAGTCGTATGCGCTTCTCGTTGAGATGTCTGATTTTTAACTTTTTATTTGTTAAGCTTTTTTTATTTAATTTTTTTGGTACTGATTGCGGAGTGTTCAACTCGGTGAGAGGAAGGTTTGAACTTAAACTGGTCATCTGTCGTCCCAGCTGGCCCCCGGGTCATTCCTGGGTTTGTGTCCACTGATGACACGTCGTGTTTATCCTCCGTCAGGGCGGAGGGAGTCACCTTCATTGTTTTCATGTAAATAGCTGCATCGGAGGTTTTAATTGGAACCGTTTTTAGCCACACTGCAATCGTCCCGGTTTGCCTTAGCTTACCTAACCTGGGCTTACAGTAGTCGTCCGTCACTTCTAGCCCGACCTTCAGAGAGCTTGATTGGTGTGCAGCACGAGGAGCTGCGGCCTGTCAGAGGACCATTCTTTTTCTATTCTAACCTGTATTTAGTTTGACCTCCTGTATGTGCAAAGATGTTTATCCTTTTGGTATAGATTGTTCCAGATGGCAGTTTAAGCAATAAAAAAGGTAAAAAGTCATTCACCTTTGTTTCTGGCTTCATTATTTTATGAATTTGTTTTTGTACCTTACTGAGTGTTCTAGACCTTCATTGCAGTTTCTCTTTCACACTGGGACTCACTTCTCCTGGGTTTCCTCCAGATAACTTGCTAAGCCTGTTAGTCAGGACATTATGGTCGTCATCCTGCTATGTTTTTAACTAAAGTTGACAGGGAATTTTAAAATATGACTTGTCATATTTTAAAATTGTCTTCTAATAATGTGTTATTAGAAGACATTATTAATAGTACCTGACCACCAACTATAAAGTCTTAAGGCAGACATAAAAAATGCAGTTAAAATGACTATAAATTTTTTGACTCTACTTTATTCACATCTTTGTCCTGCTGATATTTTGAAGTGGAGCAGTTTGCTGTAGCTTTGCTAATGCTAGCATGTTTCCTATGTTTAGATAGGACCTGTTGATAATTCATAACCCATTTTCTTTGCTGTTGTCAATCGTGTGCGTTTAAAGTTGGGGTTAGATCAGGAAAGAGCAGCAGTGGTGATGCAATACCAGTGAATAAAACGGACACCTGACCTCAGTTTCCCTCTGTGTTCACATGTTGACCACAGTGTGATGCCATTGTGTTTCTTTGCTATAAGACAATCTTGGCAATTCAATTCTGATTCTAAATCATATTATGGACATTTGCAGCTGTTCATTAATTGAGATCAGTATGGAAAATCACTGATCTCATTTAATGTAGATCATTAAATGAAATCTACATTGTAAGCATTTTGTCTTATAAAAAACCAAAACAGCAAAAATCCCATAAACATTTAACACTGCCTCATCTCTACCTCTGCCTACTGTAGCAGGTTCTGATGCCTATGAAATGCTGCACCACATCTGAACAGCAGAGGGAGACATTTATCTTGTGTAACTCCTGAATACTTGTTCTATATCAGTCCTCTGCTGCATAATAACCAGAAAGTTTAAACATCACTTCAGTCCTATTTTACTCTTTTTCCATTTGGTCATTGGGAATTCTTCATTTCAGACAGGTCTGCTTACACCATGAAGAAAAAGTGTCATGTTAAAGCAAAGTCTGTGATTTTAGAGTTTGTTTGACATGGTTCAACATCCACACCTTGCCGCATGTTTGAGGAAAAGATGAAGAAACAAGAAGCCTAATAAAATGAGTTCCTCATTTTCATTGGTCCTGCAGAGCATGCGTGTCGATTTCTTTCTTCCTTTCTTCCTCTGCCCCGGCCTGCCTCGGATGTCGTAAAAGGCATTTAGTTGCTGATGAAACAGGATTACAAGTCTGGAAAACAGGGTGGAGTGAATTCAAACGTCTGCTAAATTGCCTTTTCTCCCACTCACAGTTCCCCTCCCTCTCTCACACTTCTGTTATTTTAGGGGAAGAAATCGTCTCAGGAACATGTGTCTTTATTTAAAAATAATTTTATTTTAGAATTTAAAAACATCTGTCGTTTCCACGGTCCCAAACTTGACCAACAACATATCCAGTGCATGACTTCTCTCTCCCCCAGAACCAAAACCGCTGGCTGAAGTGTGGGAAAAACCTCAACACAGATTTTATTACAGTAGCATAAACTCACACTAAAAAAATAATGAAAATTCAAACCTTTAATTTCAGTGCACATAATAAGTGGAGAAAGAATTGAATTATGACACCTGGTTGCCATGGATATGGCGTCTTGTTGCTCTTATGGAGGCCTGGTGACCTCAGGTTCTCTGTGACCTTTCAGGAAGTGTTGGCTCGCTGTGCACAGCCTCATGATGAACACGTGTTCTTGTTCAGACACAAACTAAGTTTCTAGTTGTTTAAGATTTTTTAATGAACCCCCAAACTGTGTGTCCAAGTTTAGACCACTTATTGTAGCCAAGTAGCTCCATGGAAAACAGGAAGTCATGAATTACTAATTAAAAGTGTTTAGAGCAACTAAGGAAAACAAATCGTTAACCTAATAGCATAATTGCCTAAGACCTATTATGCTACTAGGCTAACAAAATTTAAAAACAGATTTAGCTTCTTTTCTTATTTTTTACGGAATTGGTTTGAGGATTCAGTTAAAAATTCATAATTTGTCAAAATATGAATCTTTGTTATATCTTTGTTTTCCACAAGAATAAATGGATTAATATTAAAAGTAAAATTTTCAAAATGTGTCGCTGTAAACTCTGCTACTGCAAGAAAAAACAGGTCTACTGCATTTTAAGGCTTTTCACTCATCTTTTCCAGAGGCGCCAGTATGATGAGGATTCAGTATCTCTGTTGCTTATGATGGTGTGTGTGTGTGTGTGTATGACAGCGGTTTTAGTTTAGCTTAATTTAAATGATGAAAAGTTTCAAACTTTGCTCGGTCATGTAGTGGCTCTTTCATTGTCCGAGTTCTCTTTAAGGATCTCCTGGCATCTTCTTCCTTCAACTCCAGTCTGATCTTCCTCGGTTTCCATGGTGACTGCAGGTCATCACTAAAGACTCCCAGGCAGCTTCTGTTGACCAAAAGCAGCTCAGTCCTCAGCTACCTGTTGTCTTCCCTCTGCGTTGCTCTCTGAGGAGTCTCTGAGGGTTTTGTGAAGTCCTTAGTGATGACCTGGTCCTGGCCGAGCCGCCGGACGCAGCGCTGCACCACCCGTAGGACCTTCTGCAGCCTGCGGTCCAGCGCCAACAGGTGGGGCTCGGTCAGCACTGGTCTTAAAGGATCCCCGTCCAGAGACTCTCTCATGACATCGCTGAGTCTGAAGCGTGGTCGGGCCAGGAGCTGGAGCCTCAGCAGCGTGGAACGCTTTATCCTAAAAAGAAGAGGAGAAAAGATCCATGAGGTTTGGGTTCATCAAAGTCAACAGGAACGTTTTGCTCGTCTGATCTGCAGAACTCACATGCAGCACTGAGACAGTGGAGCCAGGATGGACATCTCATCATGGGAATGCTTCCCAAACCTGGGAACAACATGGAACCACAGAGCAACGCTCAGAGCCGGCCTGAGGCAGAAGCAAACTTAGCTGCTGCTTAGGACCCCCAGGCCACCAGGGGGAGCCCAATTACTGCTTGACTTCTCATTAAGAATATTAATCTCAAAACTTCTGATTTGCGTTTACATTTATCAATAACAGTCTTCTTCTATATATTTTAGGGTATTCTGGCTCTTTATTTGAAAGTGCTAGGACAGGAAAGAGGATCATGAGAGAGAGGGAAAACATGTGGCAAATGTCACCAAGCCGGGATTCGAACCTACGACGGCCACGTTGTGTTTAACCTCTGCGCCACTGCAGCACACCCTTCTAGATTTTAATCTGACGCTTTCTACATATTATATACATAAAAATATGTTTATTTAGCATTTAAAAGATCCAACAAAGCAGTTCTTGTGTGAGTAGTGCCCTGAGTGAGATTATATTGACATAAATATATCTATTTATCTGGTCATACTGACCAGTCTATATATTCTTTTTTTGTGAATATTAACTAACTGGACTCCCCTGCTAAGCAAAACGCAGTAGAAATGTTCCGGATTGTGTTTGTGCAATTAGAATAAAATATTCATGGATCTCAAATTATGATTTAATTCATTTTTGTTCAGGGAAGAATTATTAAAAGATCAGTATTAAGTCATATGATAGAAGACTTTCCATATAGTTCCATTTTATAGCACAATCAAGTAACTATGTTACCTTCAGTTATAAAAATACTGAAAAAAATGAAAAGTGACTTAAAGAAAATTTAGTTTCATAATTCAACGCCTTAAAATTTGACAACTATGAGACTGCTGATCGTCACACACTGTGTCTGGAAGCAACTTGGTAAGTAAGAAAATGTTTCCTTCAAATCAAAGTTAGGACCAAAACGGTCTGGGCCCGGTTCTGAACTCGATCCTCACCCTCTGGCGTTGTCCAAGTGCAGAAGTAATCCTTCATCTCCAAACTTGGTAAAAATCTCATAATGGTGTCTGTCCATGTTACCTGATTTAAAAAAGAAAAACGGGGACGTATTCAATTAAAAACTAGAGAAAAAACAGAAACAGTTGATGCACTGATGACTCACCTATCAGGAAGTCAAAGATGGACATGTCTATGATGTTGAGCAACCTGTTGCCAGAGTTATAAGGATACGCCTGTTTAACGGAATCACAGTAGAAAGGATTTACCTCCCACCTGCAAAGAAATGCAGACAGGAGAAGAATCTGTGCATAAAACATGGACATTTCTGAATTTTATTTTCTAGAAAATCTTCGACTTTTCAAACTCAGAAACATTCTCATTTTTTCTAGAAAATTTCTAGAAACAGCTTTTTGGGGGAAATTAACTCCTTTTTTCCCTTTGTGTATTGGCCGTAGTACACCATTGGAAAGTCTTCTATCATGTTAAAATGTCATTAATATTAACATTTAATGTGTTAATATTAATGTGCTGCTAAATGTTCTGTTTCTAAATGTTATGACCTCCAGTCAGAACTGGGAGCAGCTGCAGCTGGATTCTTACTCCTCTCGTCCGGAGAAGGTGTAGGAGCGTTTCCATGGATTCGGGATGGAGAGGCGAGGAGCCACGGTGAGGCCCGGCAGGTAGGCGGACAGGGAGCCCTCCAGCAGGTCAGGGCCCCCACACACAGCGTACTCCGTCTTACACACATACAGGCACTTGGCGAAGAAACACGTGTTGTTTGCTGTTGGAGAAGCAAAACCAGTGAAAGTCACCAGAGATCAGCAACATGAATCCTGCTGAGCCAAAGTGTTTACTGTGTTAAACTGAGTATTATAATATTTTTACTGCTTTATGGTTCAATCCATGAAAAACCCAGACTTCAGCCAAAAGCTGCATTTAAAGAAAAGAGTTTGATACTTGAGACAGTAAATATTTTACCATCTTCATGAACAGTGTCTTAAAAATATTCACACCCACTGATTTTTTTATGTGCCAGACAAATGCAAACCAGTGCACAAATATAATTTATAAGCATTTTTTTTAAATTCTTTTAAATAACTAAAAAAAAAAAAAATATTGTAAGCATTTGTTTCATGCTCAGTCAAATTGGATAAAGAGAATCTTTAAATGTCAAATTTCAAGTCTCATCATGTTTCAACATAGGTCGAGACTTTAACTAGGCCATTCTAAGACATGTAAATGCTTTGATCTAAACACTGAAGCTGACATGTTTTCACCCAGGACTCCCTCTGTGTTCAGCTTCGTCCATTTGAAAGTAATGGGCTGAACTGTAGCTGCGTTTCCATTACAAATGTGAACTAATGCTAATGTTGACAGAACACAATTTCACATTTGCGGTGTTTCTGTTAAGTAAGAAACAGAGTCAAAGTCACATGTGAATAAGTTTGTCCACATGATGAGTCATTAANAAAANAAACGCCGCAGTGTCATCATTCCTGTTGTCTTCTTCGCTGTTTCCTCCAGTAGTAACATCCTGCTGTTGATCATGTGACTCATTTGATGTGAAAAATGTGGTTCAGTTGCAGTTTTGCCAAACAAACTAATTTTGATGCAGCTGAACAACCACCTCATCCTAACGCAAAAACTTTATATTAAAAACGTTATTTCAAAAGTAGCGCGTTTCCATTAAGCAAATTTGCTTTTATTCTTATTGCTAAAAAATTTGAATCCGCCATGTTTGTTATGTTACATCACAATCACACTCTACGTGGTGAAACATCTGAGTGTTAAAAGAGGCTTATGAAGACAGCTTTTGTTTTCTTTTCCGTTAATATAGATCTGCAGCACCCAGATCCAGTCAGCACTTCCTGACCCCGGCTGACCTGGTGAGGTGAAGAACACGGCCCGCAGGTCTTCGTTGTGGGCAACGTGGAGGACTTCTCCGCTCACGTTGACTCGCCTGCCGGCCACCGGCGGAACCCTCCGGAAGTCCAGGATCCTGAAGAAACCAGGAGGTTCCAAAGAAAAACTAAATCAGATAAAGTCTCTTGCAAAAGTATTGATACCCATTGAAATATTTCTAATTTTGCCATCTTGGAACCACAAACTGATATGGAAATTTATGCTAAACCAACTCAAAGCGAAGTGGAAGGAAATGATGTTCTTTTTAAGCAGTTTTCAAATAAAGACCTGAAAAATAATTCCATACGTTTAAAATAGACGTATTTTGAACATCTATTTAAAATAAACTTCTAAACGTCTATTTAAAATAGAGCAGAGTAATTTACCAGACTAAAATAGAGTAGACTAAAGTAGTCTGCTCTATTTTAGTCTGCTAAAATAGAGCAGATTAATTTAGGCTCTACTCTGACTTACCACAATCCACAATTTGTTACAGCATATCTTATCAGTTTTGCTCAAGTAATAATTAGCAAAACTAATAAAATGATCTGGCCCAGTCAAAGTCCAGACCTAAAATTGATTGAAAACATATTTAGGTTTAATGTTTATGAATGCTCTCTATCCCATACAGCTGAACTTTAACTATTTTAAAAACTACATTCTTATAAACCCAAAAGTAAAAGTAAACTGGTTCAAGTTGTGAACAGTAAAGATGATACAGACTGCTGCAAAATATGGGTTTAAAAGTTCTGACACCGGGGAGCAAAATACAAATGCCTACCACACTTTTTAGGTTTGTTATTTGTAAAAAGATATTTAAAAGCATGCATTCATTTAAATGAATTTCACAATGTCCTCCGTAACATTTTGTAGCGCAACAAACTCGATTTTTTCATGCATGTATCAGCAGATTCACCTCAGTAAATGTTCTGTCTTATCTTTTCATCTCACTGATTCTTAACACAAGTGCAACACCCCTCACACACACACACCACACACACACACACACACACACACACACACACACACACACACACACACACACACACACACACACAC